ATAGTGAAAGTAGAAAAGGATGAATTCTTTCCAACGGACCTCCTCTTGCTTTCATCTAGTTATGATGATGCAATCTGCTATGTTGAGACCATGAACCTTGACGGGGAGACAAATTTAAAGTTAAAACAAGCATTGGAGGTAACTTCATCCTTACATGAGGACTCTAACTTGTGCGATTTTAACGCGGTTGTTAAATGTGAAGACCCGAATGCAAATTTGTACTCATTTGTTGGAACTATGGAGTTTGAAAAGCAACAGTTTCCCCTCTCTCCTCAACAGCTTCTCCTCAGAGACTCTAAACTCCGAAATACCGACTACATATATGGAGTTGTTATCTTCACTGGTCTCGACACAAAGGTTATTCAAAATTCTACTGATCCCCCTTCAAAAAGAAGCAGAATTGAGAAGAAGATGGATAAAATTATCTACTTTTTGTTCTTTGTTTTATTTACCATGGCAATGGTTGGATCTATTTTCTTTGGGATTGCAACCGAAGGTGACTTGAACAATGGGATCATGAAAAGGTGGTATCTCAGGCCAGATGATTCTACAATTTTCTTTGATGCTAAAAAAGCTCCATATGCAGCAGTTTACCACTTTTTGACTGCCCTGATGCTATTTAGCAACTTTATCCCCATCTCCTTGTATGTGTCAATAGAAATTGTGAAAGTTCTTCAGAGCATCTTCATCAATCGAGATATTCACATGTACTATGAGGAAGCTGACAAACCAGCACATGCCCGTACCTCAAACTTGAATGAGGAACTCGGCCAAGTTGACACAATTCTCTCAGATAAAACTGGAACTTTGACTTGCAATTCAATGGAGTTCATTAAGTGTTCTGTGGCAGGGACAGCTTATGGCCGAGGTTATACAGAGGTTGAGAGGGCTATGGGTAGGCGAAATGGTTCGCCATTGGTTCATGAAAATATGAACAGAGAGGCCAACGTCAAGGATTCTCCTGATACAAAGCCACCCATTAAAGGCTTCAATTTTAAAGATGAAAGGATTATGAATGGAAATTGGATTAATGAGCCACATGCAGAATACATCCAGAAGTTTTTCAGTTTATTAGCAATCTGTCATACAGCCATTCCGGAAGTTGATGACGATACTGGGAAGGTTTTGTATGAGGCTGAATCTCCTGATGAAGCAGCATTTGTGATTGCAGCAAGAGAACTTGGTTTTGAATTCTACAAAAGGACGCAAACAAGCATATCACTGCGAGAGTTGGATCCAGTGTCTGGCAAGATAGTTGAGAGGTTAGTATATTTCTTTGTTTTTCTCATAAATAGGACTTTCAAATATGTATGCCAGTCTTCTTCGGTTTCCATTGGTGTGATGTGGGTTCATCAGGATACCCGATTCCTAATGCCTCCACATTGATTTCACATACACTTTTATACCAGGAATATCCACTTTTATATTCATCAAGAAACTTCTATTTTGCAGGTCATATACACTTCTGAATGTTTTAGAGTTCAACAGCACAAGGAAGCGAATGTCTGTGATTATAAGAAATGAGGAAGGAAAAGTACTATTGCTTTGTAAAGGTGCTGACAAGTATGTATTAACTGTCTCAAAACTTGAATCTGTCCCTAATTTACCTGTTGCTAAGTTAAAAGCACTTTTCTAACCAGCATAGCTCATTTTCTGTCCAGTGTCATGTTTGAGAGGCTTGCCAAAAATGGTACGGGGTTTGAAGAAGAGACCATGGAGCATTTAAATGAGTATGCTGATGCAGGGCTGAGGACCTTGATACTTGCCTATCGTGAACTTGAGGAAGATGAATACAGAGAATTCAATGAAAAATTTATCAAGGCCAAGAATTCAATTAGTGCAGATCGCGAAACATTGATTGATGAAGTAACAGATATGATTGAGAGAGATCTAATTCTTCTTGGTGCAACTGCTGTTGAGGACAAACTCCAAAATGGGGTGTGTAGTCAAATACTGATGGCATAACATGGAAGTTTTTTTGTAGACATGGTATTGAATTCCAAAGTGATGTTCTTTCTTTCTTTCTTTTTTGGTTAGGTTCCTGATTGCATTGACAAGCTTGCCCAAGCAGGAATTAAGATTTGGGTTTTGACTGGAGACAAGATGGAGACTGCCATCAATATTGGGTATGATTTCTGGGTATCGATTATTTGGGCTGAGGTGAGGCCTTTTTTTTTCTTCCTACTAATGAAGGTCTCTGACTGAAATTGTTAACCTGCAGGTTTGCCTGTAGCTTGCTTAGACAGGGAATGAAGCAAATTATAATCAATTTGGAGTCTCCTGAAATCCAAGCGTTGGAAAAGACAGGAGACAAAGAACCCATCGCCATGGTAAAACTATATACATATAGTTGAGTTAGTTTATGTATTGAAAATGGAATCTGTAGCTTTGATACTCAAGGAAGTAAAACAGTGATCTTGAACAACATAATAGCCTAATAGAGTACATACACATTAATCCATCTTAAACCATTTGAAGTCAGAGTACATATGATGCTGATAGGATATTGCTGATTCATCTTTAGGCATCAAAAGGAAGTGTTCTCCGTCAGATAACTAGGGGAAAGGCTCAGCTTAAAGCATCAGGCGGGGCCTCTGAGGCATTTGCATTGATCATTGATGGAAAATCCCTTGCCTACGCTCTGGAGGATGATATAAAGAAAATGTTTCTAGATCTTGCGATTGGCTGTGCATCTGTTATTTGCTGCCGTTCATCACCAAAACAGAAGGCATTGGTGTGTTTACAAATTACAATCTCATGGGTTTTTCTTTTTCATTTCAATAGCTTCATAAGGATGAATTCTTGCCTTTTCATGCTCAGATAATCAGATTTAAGAATTGATTTGTTTTAAATGTTGAAATGAAACAGGTCACTAGACTGGTCAAATCTGGAACCGGGAAAACGACACTAGCTATTGGTGATGGAGCCAATGATGTGGGAATGCTCCAAGAAGCAGATATTGGGATTGGAATTAGTGGTGTTGAAGGAATGCAGGTATTTTACAGATTCTTCCACATGTTCTATTGAATAATTTGTTTGTTTCCCTGTATTTTCTCTATGCTTTTATTCTCATGAACTTTTCATGCTTATTATTCAATTCAGGCGGTCATGTCAAGTGATATTGCCATTGCACAATTTCGATATTTGGAGCGTCTGCTGCTTGTGCATGGGCATTGGTGTTACAGAAGGATCTCATCAATGGTAATGCAATCTCGACAATGTGACAAAAAAAATTAATTTATCACAAGAAAAAACTTGTGTCATGGTAAATTGACTTTAACAAATTTCTCCTTGCAGATTTGCTACTTCTTCTACAAGAACATCGCATTTGGTTTTACTCTCTTCTTATACGAGGCGCACACGTCCTTCTCTGGACTGCCCGCATACAATGACTGGTTTTTGTCACTGTACAATGTATTCTTCTCATCATTTCCGGTGGTCGCTATGGGAGTTTTTGACCAGGATGTATCTGCCCGGTTTTGTCTCAAGGTAAGCTCACCGGGGCAATGTGCAAAATTAAGTTCAGATTAACATGCGTAATTTTGAGCCTGGTTTTTGCATCTTTTGGATTTATTGTTTATTCTGTTTGGCTGTGCAGTTTCCTCTGTTATACCAAGAAGGGGTGCAAAATGTTCTCTTCAGCTGGCGTAGAATACTCGGATGGATGCTGAATGGTGTTACAACTGCCGTGATTATTTTCTTCTTCTGCACGAAAGCGCTAGAACACCAGGCCTTCAACAATGAAGGGAAAACTGTAGGGAGGGACATTCTTGGAGCAATAATGTATACATGCACAGTTTGGGTTGTGAACTTGCAGATGGCACTTTCCATCAGTTACTTCACCTTGATACAGCACCTTTTCATATGGGGCTCAGTTGCATTATGGTATCTTTTTCTCTTGGCATATGGAGCCATGTCACCCTCAGTCTCCACCACTGCATACAAGGTCTTCGTCGAAGCCCTTGCCCCCGCCCCTTCCTTCTGGCTCATCACATTCTTCGTGCCAATCTCAGCACTAATCCCGTATTTCACATACTCATCGATTCAGATGCGCTTCTTCCCTATGTACCATAGAATGATACAGTGGATAAGGTATGAGGGCCGGTCAAATGACCCTGAATTTTGTAATATGGTGCGGCAGCGATCCTTGCGGCCAACCACCGTGGGTTTCACGGCACGCTTAGCAGCAAGGACCAGACGTAACCATAACCGTAGGTGATTTTTGTAAGTTTGTTCTTTGGTACTGGTACAGTACAGTAGGTCTCACAGAATGCACTTCATCAATCTCTGCCAGTTTTTGTAACCTCTGCCTTTTGTACATGATTGGGTTGCACATGCGTATATATATACAACAACATTTTTTGGTTCAATTTGTTCTAGGAGCGGGCCCTGGGGAGGGGGTACGGTAGCTAGTTGACTATACAGAAGCACAACATGTGTTAGATGGGTCGTTGCTTTTAGAGAATTTATGTAAATTTTGAGTCATGGCCATTAGTGGCCATGCTTAGTTTACTTCTTACTGCCAAATTATATGTAATACAAAGTGAAGTCATTCATTGTTAGTGTTTTTTTAATAATAAATTTCGATCCTTTCTCATGATTTTTCCTTTTGCCTTTCATCTTTGATCAATTCTGCTCTTGGAAATTTGGATAATATTTTATCCATTTCTGTCTATATGTTTATACACACAGAAACTCATCACTTTCCAAGACGGAGCTCTTCATCCTCCTTGGTTTTTTTCTTTGGTTGAAAAAAATATAGGGGAAGGGAGGCTATCCCATCCCAAGACCAGGAAATATCATTTTTTGGTTTTTACAAATTACCCATCAAAAGGAATTGTTAGCAGCGTGACTTGAACCTAGACTTGGATAACAAAGAAAACGATTCTTACCAACTCAACCAAAACCATCCTCCTTCATTCAAGAAGAAATTCCCTACTTTGATTTGATGTGCATTGCATGGGATGGGACCCCAGTTCAGATACAAAAGAATAGAAAATGACCAAATCATAAGTTCATAACATAACCTGAGAGAGAATTCATATGCAAATTACAACCCAAAGGGTATGAAATTGAAATGGACCTAAACATGAACTATTAATAACATAAATTATTATTTATACAAAAATTTACAAGATGGGGTTTTGATTAATTAATTAGTAATTCTGATCTTAATTCACTAAAGGGATTGAGGGGCAGGTCTCAATATTAAAATTCATCAGTATATATATTATCCCCTTTTCTGTGCAGATCCTCCTTCTCCTTCTCCTTCAATAAATCCATCCTATTTTATCAAGACAAGCCCCTCAACCCCACAAACACAAAACCGATAAAAAACATAAAAGTCAGCGATGAAAAGTCAAACCATCCACAAACGATCATACCAGCGCCACACCTGATCAGACCCCAAGAAAATCGGCAGCAGACCGAGACATGATCGTCGCGAATTCGTTGAAGCTAATCACGCCATCGCCGTTCGTGTCGGCCTCTTGCATCATATCGGAAAGCTCTCTGTACGTCAACGGGTGACCCATTTTGGCCATGGATCCGGCGAGCTCGGCGGCGGTGATGTAGCCGTTTCCGTCGCGATCGAACGACCGGAAGACCTCCATGAGCTGCTCCTGGTTGATGAGTATCTCCGCGTTCATGTCGGGCAAGATAGCGGTGACGAGCTCGTCGAACTCGACGGTACCGTTTCCGTTGGCGTCCATGTTGGCGAGGAGGACGTGGAGCTGGTCGCCGGCGGGCTTGACGCCCAGAGACCGGAGCAGGGCGGCGAGCTCGAGCTGGGTGAGGCTACCGTCGGAGTCCATGTCGAAGCGCATGAATATGTCTTTCAGCTGCTTCAGCTGATCGGAGCCGAGCGCGGCCATCATTCTGGTAATGGTCAAAGAAGAAGAAGAAAATAGGGATCAATAAGATACCAATTGTGTTTTGGGCGTTTCGAGTTTTTTTTTTAAAATTTTGTGGAGTGGTAATTGGCTTGTGAAAAGTTGCGGTGTGGGGCTAATTGGGTTTTTATTGTTTTTCTCTTTGGAAATTTGGAACGGTTCAAAGTTTGAGACTCCGTTTTTTCGAGAATTGCCGATGGTATTTTTATTGATAAGAGGGTGAGCAATTAGTAAAAAAACCGAGTTATGTCGTCGGGATTAATTTCTTGTGTAGATTAAAACTGAAACGCGTTTTTCTAGAGTTGATTTATGTTTGACTACGTGGTTATGCATGGGGAAAATGAATGTGGATGCTGTTTACTAGGGAATGTTTGTTAACCAAATTTAGGTCTCAAACAAAAGCCTCTGTGTTACTATTTTAGTATGAGTTGATTTGGGTCGGTTTTAGTTTTCAATTAAATTCAACGCGGTTAGCTCTAGTGATTAACTGAGGAAGGACAGTAATTAATTTAATTAGTTTAATTAACCAACTACCTTAATTTTGTTAACACAGAGAACATGGGTCGGCTGTGATGAATTTTTCAATCATTTGGAGTTGGCATAATTAAGGTGAAGATTCGAGATTCAAGTTTTGGAATTTATGTGAAAACAACATTCTTCTTAAAATAAGCCACGTTTCCAATCATAACAAAGTTGACAAAATGGTGTGGTCTCGTAGGCGTGACATTTCAAAGTGAATGGACAAAATAATTATTTGACATTTACTAGACATGCTTCTGTCAAAGATATTCTATATGTGAGATAAGTTATAAGCGTCCAAGTCTTTGATATATAATAAAAGGATTGAACTTACGTACTGAAATTGACAACCTGCACCTTCTTGAATATGTTTCATATCCATCCATGGCTATTTGATGTATTGCAGAAACTGTAACCATAACTAAATGAATAGTTGATCCATCCATGGCTATTTGACAAAGATCTAAACAACCCATTTCAACAGCTAGCTAGCTTAGCTAGGTTAACTTATGATCAATAACTGACAGAGCCAACCATTTCAATCAATTGAAACTGCACAAATCTACTGTCAAATTGATCATCCTCTGCTGAATGATGAATTGGGGAACAACCCATTTCTCTTCTACCCCAAAAGCTTCCAAATCCAAACTCTCCTCTCTGAGATAACTCCTGCAGCACCTTGTCCACCTCCTCCATGCAACATTTGCAACTATGGCCTGCCTCTATGGACCTTATGGACTCTCCAAGAATACTTACAAAGTCATCCTTGAATGGATCTAGTACTATTTCCCCTTGACTTTCCACTATAATCTCTTTCCTCTTTCTTTGCTGAAGTTTCTTCATGGTGTAGTCTCTTGTCTTTTTTATCAGCTTGCACGGAAGCTTGAACAAGATGAAGATGGTGATTTGCAGGATCAAGCATTGACAGCAACATGAAATGACCACACAATCTGCAGCAACCATGCCACAATCTTCCATGTCTTGAGAGAGTCAGGAGGAAAGGGGTGGTGGTGGTAAAGAGAACAGTTTAAGGAAATCATACCCCTGACCCTGCTGTTAAGGAATAAGTTCCTTCTCTTCCTGGGAGGTAATAGGAAGGGTGAAGCAATTGGAAATGTATGTGGCAGATTGCTAAAAAGGCTGTATATGAGTCATGCCTTCTATCACTGTTGCTTCTAACAGGGGCCATCCAAAATATAATAAAAAGCTGTTGTTGCTTGGCTTCTACATTTTCGGTGGTAGATTTCTTTGATATCTTTAAGCGTTTCCTTATAAAGGCGTCACAGAGCTCGACTTTCAAAGAAAGCTCCCTCTTAATTAATTTGCAAGTCTCAAGCTTACATTCTACCAAACTTTGTTAACATCTTTGTTCATAGCTAGTCCTCTTCAGTCTTGTAATGGATTAATACATCTTTAACATGTTCGCAAAGTTCTGCAAAAATTTGACTCATCCTGTTTGTATTTGAAAGGCGACTCTGTTCTTTTATCGAAATTTTGGCGTATAAATTATAGCGCATGGATTTGTGAAACAGGGGAAACAAAAGAGAGAAGAATAGCATCCATGGATAACAAAATTGAATTATTACTCTTATAACTCCACCATAAATGTTGGTGGATGCAACAAAATCATACATAGGCTAAATAATTTACAAGGGCAAAAAATAGCCGTGCTGAAGCTTGTATAACGTCTAAACCTGATGCAGTCAGTTTCAGTTTCAGACAGATCAGGGTCCTCCCAGCTGAGCCAATCCATATCTAGCTCAATTTGGCAAAACCCTTGGAATTCAGTATGAATCTATCTCTCCCAATATTTACTATGGATCTTGACTAAAAAAATCTGTACTGTAATTTTGACTACCAAATGCCATTCGCCGGAACAATCTAATTTCAGCTGATTGTTGTGCCGAGTTAAATGCCTCGCTTTCCCCCACTCTCATTCCATTGGTTAAATCGGAAACAGCGAAACTATCAAAAGCTCTAACAACCTGAGGACAGTAAGAACGAAAAGAATGATGATTTCAGCTTAATGAATAAGTCACATAAGAAAATACTTTCAGCTTCTTATTACCTGTCCCATTCGTGGCCTCTTAGCAGATGAATGCCGCACACAAGCAGCAGCAATCTCAATCATTCTGAACATTTCACTTTCAACGTAGTTCTTTCCGAGCCTTGGATCTACCACATCTTCAAACTCCTCATTATCAAGAGCATAACTCAATAATGGTCGAGCCTGGAAAATAAATTGCCTTGTCACAAAAGCTTGATTTTGACCCCAGAAAATTCATTTGGTTAACTGTACAGGTTTATTTCATTCTATACATTGTCACATATATGGCTCCTATGCATCAATGGTTTACATCTTTCTCATGCATTTATGTAAATATGAGGGCAGATAAAAAAAATACAGTTACTTAAGGTTTCAGGTCTTCTCTACATATTTCGTGATTTGATCAACATAGGATTTTAGACCACACACAAAATGGGTACTTGACTTGCAACAGAGTTGCTTAAGGGTTTCTGGTCTTCTCTATCTGTTTCATGACTTAATCAGCGTATAATTTTAGACCACAACCAAAATTTGTACTTGTTTTGAACCAGAGCCCAATGACTATAGTATACTATATAACTGACAACCTCAGCCATGAAGATCTAATTCAAAAAATTGAGACTTCAAAATATCAGATGGGAAATATCAAAATTTTCTTATTGAAAAGAAGTAAAAGCAATATAAACAGTGTGGACTACGATATGTTCAGTATGACAAGATGATGCTGTTAAGTTTACCCATTCAACTAGACTCTCATCTCCCAAGGGTTGTGAAGTATCGACAGGCTTCCGTCCAGTAATCAACTCCAGAAGCACAACTCCGTAAGAGTAAACATCAGATTTCTCAGTCAATTTGCCACTTGATGCATATTCAGGGGCCACGTATCTGAAAATGAACCGGAATCAATACATTATCTGGCATGAAAGTACGTTTTTAAAATCTAGAAGACTCCTCAAGAATAGGTCCGGTAAAAGTGGTAAGCATATCATATGGACCAACACTAGATTGCTGACATACCCAAAAGTTCCCATGACACGTGTGCTAATATGTGTATTCGCATCAAGAGCTAATTTGGCAAGTCCAAAATCTGAAACCTGTAAAGTATATGGAGGAAACCATGAGCTACAATCTAACTGAAATAGAGAAGTACTGAAATGTACTCTGAGTTAACATTATGTGTACCCGAGCTTCAAAGTTGTTATCTAAAAGAATGTTTGAAGACTTTATATCGCGGTGAATAACTCGAGGATGGCCTGACATTAAAGAAAATAAAACAAATTTAGTCAACAAAAAATTTCCAGATAAAATTATGTAGCCCAACAAACTCTAGTATTAGGGTGTCATAACTTCAACCGGGTGATAAAAGCTAAAATTTAAAACATTTTACTGGATAAATTATATAAAACAGGTTCAAAAAACTTTGATATTCTATAGAAATGGAAGTACCCTCAAACTATTGAATCCAGAAATTAAGAAAATTAACAGCCAGAAACTAAGGGTAGATAATTACAGTCTTCATGTAGATAAGCAATCCCACGAGCTGCACCAGCAGCAACCTTAACTCGTGTTGCCCATTCCAGAACTGGCCTACCTTCCCCTGAAAAATGCAAGGTGCAAAACATGAGATTACTCAACCATTATCATCAACTGTTTCTTGAAAGCTAGGTTATAGATTTACCATGAAGATGGAAATAAAGGGTATCATTAGCAACATATTCATAGACAAGCAGCCTTCGGTTCTCAGAAATGCAGTAGCCCACCAGAGAAACCAAATGGCGGTGGTGTATGCGACTAATAATCTCAACTTCGGCTTTGAATTCTCGCTCACCCTGACCCCCACCAATCTTTAGTTGTTTTACTGCCACCTCTCTCCCATCTGGTAGGCATCCCTTATAAACAGAACCAAATCCGCCTTCACCCAAAAGATTCTGAGATGAAAACCCATTTGTCGCCTTATCTAGTTCTTCAAAAGTAAACCATGGTCTTGAATTGCCTAATCCTGCTGGTTCTGGTGGAGAATTCATGAAATCACTGCCAGAATGACTTCCAACAAACGGAGCTGAAGAATGTGTCTTCAAGAAGGATGAATCTGGAAACAAGTTACAAAAGCCTTCTTATTTCATTTCAATGGCCTCAACTTTGTGGACAGAAAAAGTACCATCTATCTACAATGGTTTATTTGACCCAATCAATTAAATCGACACCCTGATTTTTAATGAAGCTAAATAAATACCAAAAACAGTATATTGAACTTATTGTAATTTAGAAACATTGAACATAAAGCAAGTGTATAAGCAGGAAGCTCAAAGAAACAAGTTCTGGTACTTGATGTGTTCATCCTTAGGAATGTGAAGTGCTAAAAACAATGAGAAACCAGAAGGGGGAAAGGAATTAAATAAATAGTATAATAAGAAATCACTTGTGTTGTGTATGGTATAAGTTACCTGATCTGGGGGAAGAAGCACGAGATGTCATAGCATAACCTTCTCCAGATATCTTTTTCCTTGGCCTTCTCAAGCACCATACAGCCAATCCAATGAGGCTAAGCACTATTACCCCAACCACTACACCAATTGCCACTACACCTCCAATACCAATGCCCCCATTACCTGTGGCATTTGAACTTTGTGGTGCATTAGGACTGGAAGTGTTTGAGGTTGGTGGACTTGGAATTTGAGAAGGTGCTGGTGGAGAAGCATGCGAGGGTGGAGGTGGTGCCAGTCCTTTTACGGGTGGTGGAGGTGATGACTTTGGAGGAGAATTTGAGGGTGAAGGGGTTGGTTGAGAACCGGGTGGAATGGGAGGAGTAAGCCTAGGAGGCGGGGGTGCATTTGTTGGAGGTACTGATGCTGGTGGTGGAGGTGAACTTTTGGGTGGCACGGATGCTGGAGGTGGGGGTGAGTTCTCTGGCGGGTTTGATGGTGGTGGTGAAGTTTCAGGGGGATTTGATGATGGAGGTGGAGGTGACTTCTCAGGTGGTTTTGATGACTGTGGTGGTGGTGAAGTTTCCAGGGGCTTTGATGATGGAGGTGGAGGAGAGTTCTCAGGTGGCTTTGATGATGGTGGTGGTGGTGGTGAAGTTTCCGGTGGCTTTGACGGAGGTGGAGGTGAATTCTCAGGTGGTTTAGATGATGGTGGTGGAGGTGAACTCACTGGTGGACGGGATTGCGGTGGTGGAGGCGAACTTGCAGGTGGATCAGATGTTGGTGGTGGTGGGGAAGGTGAACTTTTTGGTGGATTTGATGATGGTGGGGGTGGAGAATCAGAGGTTGGTGGAGGTGCATTGGATGATGGTGGGGATGGAGAATTAGAAGTTAGTGGAGGTACATTGGATGAAGGTGATTGCGTAGCTACAGATGGGAATGAATTAGGAGGGGGTGATGGTGTGGTTGGAGGAGGAGCTGATGGAACAACAGGTGGTGGAGATTGAATAGTTGAGTTGGAGGGTTCTGGTGAATCCAAACTTGGCTGAGAAGATGGTGTAATAGTTGAGGGTGGTTGTGGTGGTGGTGTTGAAATAGTATTAGAAGCTGGTGGCACAGCCGGCGGAGATGAGTTTGGAGATGGCGATGTGGTTGCCATCTATTTAGAACCAAATCCAGAGATGGATATCATATATAACTCGTACACCACAATCTTCAAGCTATCATGAAATTTTCAAATTTTCACAAAATCCAGAGTTTTTTCCATACAAAAGCCAAAATTTTGAGCAAAACCCATAGATGATAGGCCAATTTCAAGTCTTTATCCAACCAACAGTTCCAAACTTCCAAAACTGAAATTCCCCGTCACCAAACTTCACCAACCAAACACAATATTCTGCTGGGAGCAAATCCCCGATCACTGAACTCGTTTAGAGCAAAACCCAAGTCAGCAAACAGATTTTCAGCATAAGAGAGAGATGACTCTGAGCAAGTTTTCAAGCAGAAACGCAGATACCTAAGCTCAAAAGTTAAAGATATTTGCACAAAATTCAATCAACAATCTTTCTCCAATGTGAACACTTAAAAGGTCCAAACTTTTGACATGAGCAAATGCAGCAGCAACAGCTATACCACCAAAAGTTGGCAACAAAAACAAAACCCAAATGCTAAAATCTCAAAAGGCCTTACCTTTACTTCGTCAATGATAGCTGAACAGAAACGTCTCTCCGAAATTGCAGCCTATCTCTTTGATTCTTCAAACTTCCAGTCTCTCAATCTCAAGTTCTCAACTGTGCATAGGAAGCTCAACTCAGGGTCCAGGGACACGGATTGTGGGGTCCAAAACGCTATGCAATGTGAAAACTGAAAACGACTAGAAGGAATAATTATGAGTTTATTGAATCAAAATGAATTTGTTGGTTTTTTTTTAATCTTTTCTTCTCAATTTTCTTTGGATGGAAAAAAATCATTACCATGAAATTCAACGAAGAATCACAATCATAAATTTGACATCCATAACCATGTGTGGTTGGCTTTTTCTAATATCCATTATAGTCCTACGCAACGTAAACGCTCTTCTCAATTGCCAGTGTGCAAAATTGGTCAGCGCTCTTTAAATCTTTGGAATTTGGACCTTTTCAACTTGTTTATTTTCAAATTTATTAAATAGCATCTTTAAAAAAATTACGTTATAATAATTACTTTTGGACGAATTTTTATAATTGTGTCGTATTATTATATTATTTTTATCAAATAATATTAGGAGCCCCACAACTTTATATAAGATATATTGAATAATTACTTCACTTTTCGCGGGGTGTTATATAAACTCGTTTGTAAAGATAAGATGAGACCATAAAATAGTTCCATTAGAAAATTAACATTAAATTAATAAAATATCCACCTCCCTTAAATGCTGATTTTGTCCTTAAACACCTGATTTTGTCCTTAAATACAATACGATACTATAAACAAATAGGGCAATTACTATAATGTGCCTGTACTTTTGGACTTTTTCTTGTGGAGCCACGAGTTTGACTGCATTCTTTATTGTCAAGAAAGAAACCCATCTTAGAGCATTTCAAAGGGAGTCTGCAAATGAAATAAGTAAAATTGTATTATAACAACTTAGGTGGCATGGCATGTTGTCTACCCATTTGCCTCTTATACTTCTTCATTTTGAAGTAGGCAATATTACCTTGTTGGGGCATGTATATTTTGCTTCTTCCATTTTAAAGAGGAGCTCCTCCTTAATTTTAAGGAGTCAAGCCATGTTTTTTAAATTATTTTCATTGAGAATTTTGTTCACAAAGCAATCGAGCAGCTCAGCAATGTTATAGATCCTCGATAGGAACAAAGACAACCTCAGTCAGAGCATAATCTCTTCTTTTTCTTTTTTCCTTTTAAAAAGAGATAGCACAATTATATATGCATAAAAAGACTAAAGAAATCTGGTTTGCAGAGAATTGATTAGTGGGTTTAATTTGGTGCATGGTGGGGTCGGCATGGCCTAAGAGATCTTGTTGCTTGTTAAACAAAAGTGGGTTTTTATAATTTATTAGTATAGCATGCAGACAATGAAGTGGGTCTCATTTCACAGTGTGTGTCTGAAGTCTGAAGAAATGGCAAAAATTTGAAGGTGGTGGTGGGACCATGTGGTCTAATAATTCTCGTATCTTTTTGCTGTGTGCTTGCTGCCCGTGAATCTCCTCCACTGGTTGCTGTTGTTGATCCTCAGAGATCACTCTGTTTCAAAGCTAACATCATAACATATGAGACCTAAAATCCTACAACTTCGTACTTTTTTTTTCTTTTCTAGTAGTCTATAATAGTCTATAATAGTAACCTTTTTTTTTTCTTTTCGTTATGTTATGAGTTATGTGTGATTCTCTCTAAATCAATTCCGCATGATGTTGTGTTTGATCATTGGAGAAAATTTACTCATATTCAATCACCTTAAGTTCTATTATTTGTCATCAATTAATATCGTTTTTTCTAAAGAAAAAAAGATAGTCCATAATATATATAGAGATTTTCTATTTAAACCCCACACTTCTTTTAGTTCACCTTATGTTCTAAGTTCACCCCAACTTTTAGTTTAAATTTTCACAATTTCTAAGAAAACCCCACTATCTTCCCAAACTACCCTTAAATACACCCCAAGCTGAAAAAAAAAAAGAAAAAAAAAAGAATTTTCTATTTAAGCCCCACAATTTTCTTTATTCACCCAAATATTTAAATCATTAAACAATATTAGTAGTATACATGAGATTTTGTTTGGGGTGAAAGTTTGAAGCAAAAGTATGTGCTAGGCATCAGTTTAAGGACGGTTTGAAGGCATCATGTTGAAGCAAAAATACATGAGATTTTCTTCTTGTGCTAGGCATCAGTTTGAAGCAAAAGTATTTGTAGTATACATGAGATTTTGTCACGACTGATCTTTCTCTTCAAGCCTTGGAAAGAATCTTCTACAGTTGTGGAGCCTAATCGTATAGCAGCACACGGTGCTTCAATGCACCGGATCTCAAGGATATCAAGAGTGTTGAGGAGTTTGTAATTTTCTAAAATTTAATATGAAGAGTGGTGGGGTGTGGGGTGTGTTAATACCAAGGTTAAGTATTAAGTTGGATGACCTTTTTCGTATTTTTACACAATAATAAAACTTCTAGCTTAATAATTTAAGTATTGAGGTGAACAAAGAGAAGTGCGGAGTTTAAATAGAAAATCTCTATGTATACGTATATGAAGAGAATTATTCTCTTGTTCATTTAAAAAAAAAAAGATCGGATAATTGGACAAGTTTTGGTACGGATCATATATGGATATAGATGAAATTAATAGGTATGTGGGTTGATTCTTGGAAAAGATAAGGGAACCATTTGTTAAGAATCAAGAAGGTGTCGTGGCAAGAAAAGCCAAAAGCAACCAGAGATTCGAAGCACACGTTTGCACAGTTGGAGAAAAAGCTTAACGTGTAGGCCCCAAGTCCACTACGCGCGCATAGTTGGAAATCTGAAGGCTCAGATTTCATCAGATTCTTTCACTGCATAATTGTAGACGATGCCATGTCATTTAACTTTATAGAGGTTGAGTTGGGTTAAAGGGCAATATAAATATTTAGTTAAGGCCAACTAAACCCAATTACGTAACCTAAAGCTTAATTAACCATGTGAACCTCGTTGCCTGTTGCGTTGTGTACAGAAGCGGGCCTACTTATTAATTGATAATTTTAGGCTAAAAAACCCTAAGGCCCCGTTTGGTTCACGGAATGGATTTGAGGGGAAATCAATTCCCATGTCATTTCCCAAGGAGTGGGAATGAAAGATTCATTTCCCACATTTGGTAATGTTGGGAAAGTAATCGGGAGATTTCACTTTGTTTCCTTTCCCATGTTTGTTTTGAGTAGGAATGGAAAACAAAGTTTGTATAATTTTTCATTTATATCCATATTAAATCAAATTAAAAAAAAAGAATGCATTTAATGATACGTTGTAATTATAAATTGTTCATAGGGACAAAATAGTCATGAAAATTGTGCATTGAATGTTGGCTCATTTTCCCACACTTTCCCATGAGGAGGGAAACCAAACCCCAAGTTAAGAGGAGGGCATCACTTTCCCCCCTACCTTCCCATGTGCAAGGCATCCATTTCCCATGCCGGACTTACCAAACATGGGAAAGGAATTGAATTCCCATTCCCAAGTCTCCTTTCCCATGAATCAAACAGGGCCTAAAAAAAGTGCCCAAAACTTGAAGAAAAAGGAATACAAGGCGGCTTAGCCCAATCCGCCTAACTTAAGCTCCAGATCCAAAATTCAAACCCAAACTCCATCTCACCCTGAAAATAAAAAATAAAACCCAGGACATATCTAATCTAATTGATGTATTTCTGGTAAAATGAAAAGAGAATGTTAAACTATTTGGAAATTCAAAAATGAGAGATGCCTAGAATAGCTTGAAGCAGAAAGACCGAATGATGCCTACTACCCTGGCTGAGTGTTGTTGTACCTTTTCTTTCACCTCAGCCTCCACGGATGCATGCTTTGGTTGCACAGATGCGAACTGCAGATCCCATTGGGTGCTGTGGAAACAACATCAATGTTTTCCTTTTTATGTGAGAAGACCAAAAAAAATGGCGAACCAAGGAAAATGCAGCTGGGTGACGGGACAGCCAACTTCTAGAAGGAGGTTTGGCTTCGCTGCGAATGATTACTGGATGGGGGAATCAGTTATGACTCTTGTCCAACCGCGAATTTCTTCTAGAAATGATCTCAGCTGCCCAACTCTTTCCTAGTTCAGTTTGAAATTTTCCTGGGGGAAAAAGAAGTCAAATAAAGAATGATAATTAACAAGTGCAAAATTACTAGTAGAAACCACAAATTTTTCTACTTCAGTTGACATCAAAATAGTTTAATCTACCTGCTGTAGAAATGAAAAACTCATCCAGCACCCTCCCGTGTTCTGTTACGAGAATAAAAATATCAAAAGAGAGAGATAAGAAAGCTAACAAAGTTACAGCAAAAGAATTAAACACTTTTACCTATTTCATATTCCAATGCTTGCAGAATCATTTCAACCTGAACAGAGTTGCATAACCATGTTAAAAGAAGGAATATCATAAGCAATAGTGGAAGTTCCGAAAGGTCACATCTGCATGCAAGTACACAGCACATACACACAAGCATGCGTAGGTAAATTTCTGCTTCTCAAGTTGCGTTGTAACAGTATGTGGACAACATATTGCACAAAACTAGGACTACAGAATCACAAATTTTATCAACAGGATAAGTCCTGCTCCTCTACATGCCACAAACTTGTGCAATTGTTTAACACAGGTTCCTGCTGCACAGCTAGTTACAGTGATGGAGCAAATTGGAATTCCGTCCCCATTAGAAGTAAAACAAAATAAAATGAACCCTTACTGGTACATAATGTCTAGTAAAACTATGAGATAGAAATAACCATTATAAATCACCATATTACATGGATAACTGAATTAAGCAGTTTCATTTGGATGGCTTAATATTGAAACCTGTTAATGTAACATTTATATGTGAATGCCAACATATACATACTTTATCAAAATCTTTCACAAGATTAGCCTCTAAGGATGAATTATTTTCATACTCTGCCCAAAGTTCTTTGATCTCTTCAGCTGCAAATAAGAACACTTACAATTAATACAATTCCAAAAGAAACGTTTTTAGATAATCAAAGAATTCCATGAAAATAAGAATTAATGATCACCCCTCATCCCTCCACCAAGAACTATGCACATTTCATTCAAAGCTGCTTGCTCCCTTCTGCTCTTTTCTGCTTTGGGTATGCCATCAGATGGTGTTATATCTCCAACAATAGCTAAGAATAGTCCAAAACCCAATCAGATAAAAATACCCCATTATATATATAGGTGTGTGTGTGTGTGTGTGTGTGAGTACGTACATATACGTATTAGTAGATAGACAGATGCACACACTGCACATGACAATTTTGACATGCAAACACACTTTAAAATGTCAACACAATAAAAATTAGTAAAATGATAGCAAGCCATCCTTATTCCGTAGTAATATAGGAAAACATCTAATGATATATTTAAGAAATTTTATTGCTAAAACTAAACCCTATGAACTACCCAATCTACCCCAATACCACTCCATTGTATTTCTATGTGAACCAAGAGCCATGCACTTTTCCCAGAAACTTCATTTCAAACTAGCGAGACACACATGCACAGGTATCACTTCAGTTATTATTGCTTTTTCCTAAATACTATCTTTCTTACAAAGCTAATGTGCAGTTTTTCTTTCTGACTAGATAATATTTTTCATAAAGTAGCATCACTACCACAAACTTAAAAAAGCATTGAAATTTGAAGTCTATTAATTTCAACTAAAGCTGCATTGAAATTTGAAGTCTATTAATTTCAACTAAAGCTGCTTCTTATACAGCCTCACCTTGAACTGCACATTTGAAAATATAATGTAGAGATATTGCGAAAGAATAAGGGACTAAAAGGTACCTTCTGCAATGTCATGGACAATTGCTATCTTGATACACCTGTTCAAATAAGAGCAGGCAAGAAAGAAAATAAGATACTACAGAAAAAGGTCCACGTGACACATCAATTATCAGTATAATCAAAACAAGGTCAATTAGAAAATGATAAGGAGCACAAGCCAACACATAGCATTACAAACTCCAACCTTTCTCTGTTCAAGCCAGGAACGTCACCAGCAATCAAAGACATCAAAGCCATGCGGTACATATGGTCAGCAATGGACTCAGGACCCTTTATTCCATGATTGATCCAGCCCTTTCTCTTTGTGGTCTACAAGAGAGATGAATATCATGGATCTTCCCAGAAATCCATATCACAAAGACATATTATAGACCATTACTATTACTTGAGATAAAGCATTCGTTCCTCATTATGGATACATATCCCAGTAAGCACTTGTTCTTCATTATGATACATTATACATATGATAGTTGTAAAGCTAAGCCCTTTCCCAGTAAGTCACATCTTTCACAACCCAATTCAATTCCTCCAATTTGTTTCAATAATTATTACATTGATTATGTGAGTCATTACCCGTAGATAGAAACACGATGCCACTCCCGTAGCATTATTATAACTACAACTGATTTAAGATGCTGGGATCCAAAGATGCTTCTTTTACAGAGTGACAACTAAAATGCTTGCGTCAAACCAATGAGATGAACTAATCACTTATTCTATAGATTGTATGCGAAAACCTCTGAATCACGATTTTCACAGTAGGTTTCATGCCGTGACACGACTGCTTCAAGAATCAAATTCATAAACTAAAAAACACCAAACCAAGTGCTGTTCAATTCAAGGAAGGACGCATTTAATCTCTCCTTGGTTGTTGAGAAAATTCAGCACTGATTAAATATTCTTACACTAGATTGCTCACTAGTTAGCTCCCACACCTAATATCACACAAATTTTAAAACTCACTAGAATCAGAGAACGCATATATAAACAATTCTACACATTTTCTTTCATTTTATATTCCTTGATTTTCTCGGCAAGCAAACAAATAGAATAGAAACAGAATCACTGCATACCTTGAGACTATGGCACAGCGTGAGAAAATCAATAGCGGAGGACGTGGGTGAAGAGCCCGACGACCCGATCGAAGCTTCCGACTCGTCCAAACCCACAGGCCGCTTAGACGGGAAGCCGTCCGGAGTAAGAGTCTGGCAACGAACGGAGACGAGCCTGGCGGTCGGTGATTCTGTTGAAAATGCGGGTCTGGGCAAGGTCCGATAGAAGAAAGTGAGAGGCGAACGAGGAGGGACAGAGCGGGTCAGTGGAGCCGCCCAGTGAGTCGGTGAATTAAGGGCCATAATTGCTGAGATTGAAACCTACAACCAGGTTACTCGAGGTTCTCCTTTCTTTTTGCTTCCCAAATACTGTACCAGTACCAGTCCTTTATTTTATTTTTTTCAAACACTAGCAAAAATCCTTTTTGGGAAATTTATATAGCAAAATACAGAGAAAATATTTAAAATATTAAAAAATGTCCTTTATTATAAATATTAAGAATTAAAATTATTAATTAAATAAAAATTAATATGATAAATTCACACTTCTTCATTTAAAAAAAATTAAAATTAAAAAAAAAATCAAGTAATGGATCCGAATCCTCTACTTGTTTTCCTTTGCAATAATTTGCTTGGCTTTTATTATAAGTATGACACCTCATCTAAAATATATCTAAAAGTTAAAAAGTTGACAACACATCATCTTAAAAAAAACATTAAACCTAGGAAGTGTGACATTCTCTTTAACGAAATCAGGTTTTCTCCCTCACTCTGCAGTTCAAGAACCAAACAAGATGATCAATATCAATTCTTAAATGAGGAAAAAAAGTGTTGGGTCCTTAAATTTCAACTATTTGTTCTCAACAAACACTTCAATTCCAGTATTTTACACCCGAAAATTATTGTTGATTTCAATCATAAAATTTTAGTCGTGTATTTGGTCAAATAGGCATTTGCAAAATTCTGCATTTTTTCTGTTTTCTGGATAGGCCCAATGACCTCCAGCACCGTCATGTTCTTTTTCTTCAATTTTTATCATTATGCTTTGAAATAATCTTTTCTTATGCGAGAAAAGAAAAGATATATATGTAGATATATGTTCAATGTGTTAGAAAAGTAATTCCAATATCGTATTTCCTAAACTTGGGGAGTGTCCCAAACCCTTGAGAATCGAGATGAGGAAGAAAAACTTGATGTGAATACAGGGATGACACCCATTGAAAAGATAATCTGTATTTTTTTATTTTTTTTTGGTCTGAACCACGAGATGGTCCTGGATGGGCCCCAACTATGGGTGGCACCTTTAAGCCTTAACCACAACCCAGATTAATCCCCGCTCACACCGGATCGGCCCGTAAGGGATAAAGTGCTGGCCAAAGTGGTGACTCCGTACAAGAGTAGGGATCGAACCCCTGACCTCTCTTAAGGAATGAGATCTGTATTTATTTTTTCAGTTAGCCTTTAGATATATTTTAAATGAGGTGTTATACTTAGGGGGTGTATTCAATTAAGATTTTAAATGAGTTTAAAAGAGTTTAAAAGTCTGCGTGTATTCAATTCAGATTTTAAAAGAGTTTGTAAATGAGTAGGGATCGAACCCCTGACCTCTCTTAAGGAATGAGATCTGTATTTATTTTTTCAGTTAGCCTTTAGATATATTTTAAATGAGGTGTTATACTTAGGGGGTGTATTCAATTAAGATTTTAAATGAGTTTAAAAGAGTTTAAAAGTCTGCGTGTATTCAATTCAGATTTTAAAAGAGTTTGTAAAAGTTTGGGTGTATTCAATTCAGATTTCAATTGACATTATAAAATTACATCGAAATCTAGGTGTATTCAATTATGACTTTTTAAAAGTCAAACAAAATTTAGGTGTATTCAAAAAGTAATTTATTTTGAAGGAATTAATGAGTTGCCCGATTTCATTAGAAATTAAAGTGGTAAGTATAAATACAAAAGGCCCTGACAAATCTTATGTCAACCCTAGAAACTTTGAACGTGCTCTACGCTTTCCAGTCCTTAAATGTGTGTGCTTGTCAAGTGGAGGTAAAAAATTTCTTCTTTTTATTTTACCAAAAAAAAAATCTCTTCTCTTTTTCTATGCTTTCATATATGTACGATATCCAATCCAGTGCTTGAATAATTGCTATTGCTATACATCATCGTATATCCAAGCAATTACTGTTGCTTGAATAGTTGTTGTGCCTTGGATATCCGTAGTCTGTATTCGATGCACATCATGATATGAATAGTTGGCGTTTCTTGAATAGTTACTGTCATCATACATTGTGTTTCTTGAAGTTGCTGTGCATAATTTTTCTACAACGTTTGTACTTTTCCTTCTTCTTTGTTTTTTGTTTTGTTTTGTTTTTTCTGTACATCATATCATATATATGATGGCCTTCTTCATCTACGCAAGGAGTGTCGTTCTGATGAATTTCCTATTAAAGAAGATGTTCGGTTCATTTTTATACATGATTTTTCATGTTATTCACCCACTATTTTGAGTTAGTTCTTGACATTTTATAGCTTTTTACTTCCTTTTTGTGTTTTCTTAGATTTTACCTTGGTTGGAATGAAAATGAGCTAAAAGTGCGTTATTAGTTATAAATTCTGTTTTTGGTTCATTTTCGTAGGTCAACTTCTTGGCCTGGGATCAACATGCTCTGGTGCTCGGATGAGGTCATGATCTTCATGAGACTTGTTCCAATGGATGTTAACTACAACATATCCAAATTTGAGCTCCATTGGACAAGTATTGCCTATCCAACCAATCCAGCATGTTACCACAGCTCTGGAAATCCGAACTTGGCCAGCTTTTACCTCCTTTGTGTTATTTTGATTTTCTTGTTACCATAACTCTTGGTAACAAGAAGTTACCTTAGCTTTGAGATAATTTCTGAAGCAATTGGCATCTTTGTGAGGACAAAGCTTCATCATGGCAAGGGGACAATGGGCTAAGGCTTTATCAAAGGTGGTAGTTT